ATCCCTACATGCCCAATTCCATTGCTAGGTAGAGACCTCCTGGCTAAACTTGGAGCTGTGTTTCACTGTGAGTCAATCAAACCTAGTTCACCTGACCAGCCTTTAGTTCTATTCTCCTTAGCACTCTTTCCCTTTGAGCCCCTTTCTACACTACCTTTATTACCACACATTGTCAACCCCATTGTATGGGATCTTTCCATTCCTTCTATAGCCTCTCACCACCAGTCTGTTCTTTTTACTCTCTTCCTGCTAGACTCCAATTCCCTATCTCCACATGACACTGCAAAAGTTTAAAATCCATTGTTACTCGCCTACTTTCCAGTAAGCTTCTTATCCCCTAGTGTTTCTTGCAATATGTTGATGATCTTTTATTGTGTAGCCCCTCATATCAACTTTCATGCACTCATACTGCACAGCTTCTTGGTTTCCAAGGGATACAGGGTATCTCTCTCCAAGGCCTGTCTCTCCTCAAAGTCATATATCTCAGTTTTCAATTAGCCCCACCACTAGCCAAGTCATTAAAAGCCTCCAGCCACCTGAAACTGCTGATCATATCCTCTCTTTTCTTGGCTTTGTTTCCTTAGACATTAGATTCCCAACATTTCCTTACTAGAAAACCCCCTTTAGGACACAGCAAAAGCCACCTCACAAGGAACCCTAGATTCACCCCAGAGAGTTAAAAAGCTTTCCTCAAGCTCCAGCATCTCCTCTTACAGTCTCCACCCTTTGCATTGCCAAATCATCTAAACGTTTCCATGTATACACTGATGAAAAATGGGGTATTGCTGTTGTCTTGGCTCAGCCTCTTGGACCCACCTGTACCCCGACTTGCATTTCTCTCTAAGCAGCTCGATGTTACCACCCAGGGATAACAACCCTGCTTGCAATCCCGAGCAGTAGCAACTCTCTTCACTAAAAAGGCGCTTAAACTCACCCTAAGAAGCCCTCTGCAAGTCTTTTCTAGCTATAGACTTCGAGATCTGCTTTCCCGGAACCTGCTTTCCCACCGATTCCTATCTTTGCTCCCCGCTGGGTGGATACAGGAGCTCCATCTACTTTTTCTCGAGAACCCTGAGCCCGGCCACCCTACTTCCAGTAGATACCTGGACTTATTATGACCATGGCTGCCCTGAAGTTCTTGAAGATATGAGCTCTTTACTTCCCTCCCTATCTGACCAACCTATCCCAAATCCAGACCATACTCTTTCTATGACCTCTGAAGGTTACCATTAGGCAACCTATGCTGTAGTTTTCATAAACAAAGTGTGGAAAGTAGCAACTTACTTCCTATTGCCTTAGCCCATATCCAACATAGCAACAGCCCATAGCAACACTCTGCTTACCATCCTTTCTGAGCCCCTTTGATCTGAGGTACAGCCAACCGTTTCTGCTGAACCATAACTAACCGACTGAACTCCTTCTTTTAGCGCCATATCTTTCTCATCTCTCCCTCATTAGGCAATTACTCTGGGAACACTCAGACCACTGCATGCCCGGACCCTTGCCTGAAAGTCTAGACCAGACAGCTAGTCACCCCAGGAGATGCTGTCCTCATCAAATGGCGTGCACCCAAACCTCTTCAGCCATGCTAAGACAGACTTTACACAGAGATCCTAACTACCCCCACAGTGGTTAAAGTAATACGTAACCCCCGTTGGTACCACCTTTCCCAGGTGAAGCATTCTCCTTTCATTGAGCACACCTCCTATACCTCTCAAGTGGTGGGCACCTACTCTTCACCTCACTCAAACCCCAAGCCCTAAGTATTTCTTCATATTGTTATTAATCACTCCCTGCCTTTTTGAATTCTTATTTCACAGGATAAAAAAAAAAAAAAGACCAACTTGAACCAGCTGCTGTGACATCCATATTCTCACCTGCCTACTGGTCCTGGGCCATCCCAGTCCAGCCTCTGAGCCCCAGACCCTCACTCCTGTTCAGCTAGGAAGTAGCTAGAAAGAATACCTCACTCTTTTTCCTCACTAAAGAGGCTGGAAGGTCAGGCCCAGACCAAGGTCTAAGGGGGAACTAAGGATTCAAAGAATATCAAAATATCAACAAAGGGAGTGAACAGCCTTGCCCATCTGATTAAACTGACCAAAAGGAACCACAATGGAATGTCCCTTCCTAAAGACCCTTACTATAAAACCTGCCCTATTCCACCTTAAGGCATGGTATTTGGGTGGTCTGTTCCTCTCCTTGTTTCTCTCTCTGTAGACCAAGGAATTCCACCTGGGAGACCTCTTAATAAAGTTTCTTTAGCTCCCCCCCTTTTTTTTTTTTTTAAATAATCTCCTCTAAGATCCGTATCTCTAAGAAGTGGAGTTTCTTTCAGTTTAATGCTGGTGAGTTTGAGAACATGGTGCCTCAAAAGTGCCTTATTCCAGATGGTTGTGGAGTGAAATACACCCCCAACTGTGGCCCCTTGGACAAGTGGGGTCCTTGCATTCGTGAAGACCTCGGTTAGCACTGCCCTGTCTTAGCCTGTGGTGCCAATAAATTAAACTTCCTGACCAAAAAAAAAATCTTCTCTAAATGTCAGTTTTCTAAACTTATGTATCTAAAGTCGTTGTTGTTGTGTACTGTAGAGTCAGAACTGACCCATAGCTGACCCTCTGGTGGGTTTTCAGAGGCAGTTAATAGCATGGGAGGAGACTGCCCATCCTTCTCCCACAGAGCAGCTGGTGGCCTTGAACCATGTGCCTTAGGGGTTGCAGGCCACCAGAGCTCCCTCTATCTAAAGAGGGGAGGCCCAGTTATGAGGCTGCTGCAGGGAGCTGAGAGATACTGGGAGTGTGAACTAGGTAGAGGGAGAGACAGCAAGAGGTTTGAGACATAATTAACAAAATGCACAATCAACTATAAAACATCCTCTCTCTAGATACACACAGATAGTTGTTAGAACTGGTAATAAGATTTTAAGATTTTATATTTGCACCTACTATCAAGTATTGTGGTGGTTCAAATCCGCCAGTGGTTCCTCAGAAGAAAGACAGCCAGCCTCCTGGCACCACAGCTCCCTGGACCACTTGGAGTCATTGGCTTCTGCCATGGTGTCATTGGCTTCTGCCATGGTGGTGACACAGCAGCGTAGGGCCCCCCGTGGAGGGCAGGGAAAGAGGGGTGAGGATGTATAGTAGGTCAGTGTGAATAATCGTCAAGAAATTGTGGTTAGCAGTGAAACATGGGCAAGAGTTTCAAGTTAACAAGAAATATTGATGAGAGACTGGATTGCAGATGTTTTCATCTCTGGTTGTTTGTCTAATGTGGATATTTTTATTCATTTTTTTAAAAGCCCACCTATTACTTGTTCTTGCTGCTGTTAGGTGTCCTCAAGTCAAGTTACACACACCAACCCTGGGAACCCTGCCCTCTCCAAGCCAGCCACATCATCTCTGACACACTTGGGGCCATTGCTGCAGTCACTGTGTCAATCCATCTGCTTGAGGGGCTTCCTCTCTTTTGCTGGCCCTCCACCTTTCCAAGCATGATGGGCCTTTTCCAAGGAAGAGCCCTTCCTAGCAACGTGCCCAAAGTACGTGAGCCAGAGCGTCACCATTCTTGCCTTGAAGGAGCATTCTAGCTTCACTTTCCCCAGGACATAGATAATCTGTTGTTTCGGCAGAACTGGTAATAACATCCATACACATTGCAGACAGGGCCTACTGTTCACGAAATGAGAATGAAGTCCTAATTAGGAAGCAGAAGATCCTCAGAGCTCCGCGGGAGAAAGATGGGCAGTCTCCTCCTATGTGATTTACTGCCTCTGAAAACCTTGTGCAGGGTCAGCTGTGGGTCAGTTCTGACTCCTTGGCATACAACACCCTCACCACATGGCCTCTCCAGCCACAGGCTTGCCATGCTTTCTCCTGTCCACCCTTGCTCCCATAACTGAAGTTAGCATCTCATTTTAGACATTTTTGTGTAACTTGGAGTCTGGTGCCAGGTATCACTGCTGTCTTCCTGGATCTAGGTCGCTCCACTCGACCCCACATGCTGGCCATCACTCTCAAACCTGCCCACTTAGTTTCACTCCTGCAGAAGCCCCTCACGCTGCCAGCAAAGGTAGAGACAGGACAGAGAGGAGCGAGAATGGGACTTCGCAGACGAACCAGATGTGCATAGTCTGTTTTCTCCTTCTCCCATCTGAGTGACCCTGACAAGCCTCTTTGTCCGTCAAACGGGGGTTGTTAGTACGATATGAAGATGCTAATATCTCGTGACAAAAAAGCTGTCAGCTATGGGCTGTAAGGTTCCAAAGGCTGTGGCCACTTCTGCCTGGCACAGAACTAACAGTAAGGAGGGCTGTCAGGTTAGCGTGGACGCCGGGAGCCGCCGCAGGAAGGATGCTTCAGCCCCACCAGACGGTCGATCACATGACCCCAGGATGCTGCCACCCCCCCCCATGCGTGTGCTGGTCCGGTGACCCGTCCATCCGTCCGTCCGTCCCCCACCCCTGGCGATCCTGACTCGCAGGCGGCTCACGCGCCTTTGCAGCCCGGCCTCTCGCCACGGACCTCACGTACCAGCCAGCCGCCGCCCCGCCCCTCCAGCAGCTCGGCTTCGCGGCCGCGCCCGCGGGGCTGGCGCGCTGATTGGGGCGCCCGGGCAGTAGGCGGCCCGCGGGCGCACACACCCTCCCCGCCTGGCCAATGGGCGCGCGCGCGTCACCAGCGGGCGGGGCCTTGCCAAGCCACATTTGCACGAAACTCGAGCTCCAGAGTCGTCCGACTTCTGAGACAGCAGCGTGTTACCGAGCAGGCAACCTCGGGAGCATCGGTGTGGAGCGAGGATCTGGAGGTCTGACGGTTCGCGGCGCAGACTAGCACGCCTGCCTCTCCAAGTCGAGGCGCAGGGAGCGGGCAGTGGCTGACGCCGGCTGCCAGACTCCTGACGGTTAAGTTGTGGGACTCGTCGCCCGGAGCGGTACCTGGGAGTCCCCTCCGGGCGCGCCAAATCGGATCTTTTGTGTGCCATCGGGACTCGGTCCAGAGCGGCCTGCGCTGCCCGCCTTCCCTCGCACACTCGGCCTCACTTTCCCAGTTGAGCGCGCCCACTCCGCCAAGATGATCGCGTCGCATCTGCTCGCCTACTTCTTCACCGAACTGAACCACGACCAAGTGCAGAAGGTAAGAGCGCGCGCGTGCGCGGGGCCCGGCGGGGTCCCACCGGGTTGCCTGGGCCCCCTGGAACTTCCCCGGGCAACTGTCAGATGGGCACTCCCTCTCTACCCGAGGAATCCGTTTCCTCCCCATTTGGGGCCCCGTGCAAAAAGTCTGGCCTTTCGGAACTGCCGTGCGCGCCACGTTTGCTGAGCTGCGCGCGCGAGCGAGTGGCCGGCGCGCGCTTCCCCGTTTCCTGCCACCCTGCACGTTCCTTTCCCTCCGAAAAAGTTCCTCTTGGCCTCTTTGTGAGTCTGGGAGCCCGAGGGGCGGGTCGCCCGGAGCGGAGTCGGGGACTGCCGGGCACACGTGGGATGACCCTGGCCTGCGGTAGCCGGATTCTGGCGAGAACACGTGGGGAGAGTCGCGGCTGACGGCGGAGGCTCTGCCGCCGGCCGCGGGGGCCGCCTGGGGTCTCTACTGTGGAACGTGCCGCGCGCCCCAGGCCGTTCCGGGGGCCCAGCGGAGGTGGGATTAGAGGGAAGCCGGCTTAGGGAGGGCGGGGGAGGGCGCCGTAGGGTTTCACTTGCCGCCCCCCGCCCCGGAACTACGCAGCGCTGGGGTGCCTGACTGCCCCGCCTCGTGTCCCAGGACCGCCTCCTTGGGGGGAATGCTGGTCTTTGAATGCGTAAACCTTAAGTGGAGAAGATCAGTCTTTGAACATTTTTGAGATTTTCTGAATGAGAGTTCTTCCCCATCCTGTCTCCCCGCCCACCTCACCCCCAGGCTTGGTTATTTACATAAGAAAAGTGCCTCGGGTCCTGCGCAGAGATACTCTCTCCTGGTGTCTCTGAGTGTGACAGTGGGGAGCAGGGGAGGGCCGGGCCCTGGCAGCCCCCAGATCCCTGGGGTAGGCCCTCCGTTTGCACCTCGCTAGCACGTGAGGGAGGGCGGGCTGAGTTGGGACCGGAGGAAGGCTGAGTGCTGTGGCAGTCCATGAGCTTGGCTCGATTGCATACTTGTTGTTTTAGCGCCAGGTGGGGACACAGTTTTGGGGAACAGTGATACCGTTCGCGGCGGATACCTGCTCATACACCAGCTCTGGAGGGTCGGGAGTGCCAAGGAGAGGGTTGTGGGCTAGCGTGATAATTGCAGAGTTGGAGTGGTCACGTCGTGACTCGGACTGTAAGAGGGTCCCCGGGTTTGAGTCCTGTCCTGACTCCTTCCCGGGAAGTGTGTCTGTGGGCCACCGTGCTGCTGGAGCCCTCTCTGGGCTTCTCCTTCTCAAGAGCTGACTTTGAGAGGGGGAGGCTTCATCCAAGGGAGGGTTTCTCCTCCGGAGACCTGAGGCAGGGTCAGCTGGGAGTGGGGTTCAGCTCCGTGGCAGGGAGAGCTTTTTGAGGACTCGGGGGGGGGGGGGGGGGAAGAGGTGTTTGGCCTTATTTCCTCCGAATTATGATAGGGGCAGAATTGAGTGATTATCAAATAGGTGCTGGCTGCAGGTCTGGGTGAGTCAGAAGGTTCACTCCCTGGGACAGTCAGTTAGGAAGGGGAGAGTCAGAGGATGGTTTAAAAGCATCTTTTCAAGTTGCCTGTTGGGCGGCCTGAGTGTATGATGCAACAGGCAGACACTAGCGCCTTGTGACACTGGTGCCTGGGGGTCCTAACGCCATCTGCTTTCGGCCAGGAGCTGTGTTTTCCAGTTAGGATGAGGAAAGGGGCTGTTTGCTCACTTTTACTTCATTTTGGAACTTTATCAACTGTGAATAGCATTGGCTTTGTCACTGGGTATCCCTGGATGGTTAACACGCCTAATTCCTGACAGAAAGGTTTCAGGTTCAAGGTTTTCAGGTTTACAGTTCAGAGTTGCCTTAAAGTGAGATGAATGGATTTGGAAAGGTCATGGCCCTTTGAAAGCCCCCAGGCCCCCGGCATTCTAATAAGTGGGTATATCATCATCTCTGTTTGGTGATGAGGAGACAGGCATGGTGAGGTTAAGAGACCTGCGGGTCTTGGGGGGAAGACCCAGGCGTAAGATACAAGGATTAGGAGAGGCCGCACCTTGGGGAAACTCCCTGTAGGCCAGGTGAGGGCTGGGAGGGGCTTGAGGAGAGTTACATTCCACCTTTAATCCTTTTAAGCTCATGGCTTATCAGGTCTTGGGCTTCCAGAGTCTGTCTGTCTGCACACATGTGTTTTGGGGAACACAGTTCCATCAGTGACACCTAGTGTGTGGCTTGTAGAGTTGAGAGGAGGGTTTGAAGGAACTGAGGGGAAACTGCTGGTGGGAACCTCTCTCCGCAGAGCATGCTGGACCAGGTCATGAACGTGGCTGCCCCGGGCCAGCTTACCTGTCTTCCTTTCCACACACTGCCCTTCTGTGCCCAGAAAACATTGGTGGTAGGAAGGTTCTGTGGGCTTGGCTTCATGTTATGAGTCTCCAGGGAGTACGAGCGGCTTGCCCTCTATCACCTGAGTGGATTGGAATCCCCTCTCAGGTTCCTCACCAGAGCCAGCATTCTTTTTCCTTTTAACACCACTTTTCAAAGTTGGACTTTTCCAGTGCCCCGAGGAGTCTGGGGCAGCTGGGGGCCTTTTTTTTTTTTAGGGGGCGTGTGTAATAACATAAACCTGGCAGCCAGAGAAAGGAAGTCTGAGGTGTGAAAGAGCTGGGGAGCCTTAGGAAACGGGCTTTCTTTGTTCAGCCCTTCCCCTTCCAGAGGCGGAGTCTTGATAAGAAAGAGGTTCCTCATTATCACTGTTGAGTTTTGAAGTCAGCCAGTTCTGTTTTCTAACCCTGTGAGCTGCCTGTTTTGTTTTCTAACCCTGTTGGAGCAATAGCAGTGGGGTGGGTCACCCTGAACCCCAGACAGGATGTGTCTTCATACCCTCTGGTCACGTGGCTCTGCTTTCTTCCAATGTGGGCTTTCTCAACCTGGGCACTGTTGACATTGCCCACCAGATGGTTCGTGTGAGGGTGGACCAGTCTGCAAGGAAGAGCTGGGTGGCTCCCTACCTACAGGGGCGAAGCTTGGAAAGCCTTTTCTGTTCTGTGTCCAGCAGTAGCTTTCAACGGTGCCTTTGACAAAGGGAAGCTGGAGGACTGCTACTGGCATACAAACGGGTAGATGCCAGGGATGCTTCTGACCCTCCTGCAGCACCCAGGGGCCCCCTGGGCAGTCACCCGGCTCCGGCTGCCCACGGTGCCCGTCCGCAGTGCTGAGGCTCAGGGACCAGCTTTGGAAGGCAGTCCCCTCTCTCAGCCGCTTCCCTTGTCACCAGAGCGGGCTGCACCGGGTCATGTGGCTAGTTGGTAGGCCCAAGCAGGGCAGGGACCCAGGGCTCCTCACCTCCACAGTGGGTTCCACAGTGAGGTGGGAACTTTCATAAAAGCTGGCAGCAGACCCCGAGCTATCAGCAGATGTCCAAACTCCCTGGGCAAGGTGGGCTTTCAGTTGTTGATGTACTCAACACTGAAAATGTGTCCAGGGAGCCGGTGGCGGGCAAGTGGTCTGCAAGGCACAATGTCCAGGGAGCTGGCGGGCGAGTGGTCTGCAAGGCACAGTGTCCAGGGAGCTGGCGGGCGAGTGGTCGGCTCTGGCTTGGCTTCAGAGTGAGGCAGGTGTTTGAACCGCAGTTCCTGAGGGGCAAGTGGGACAGTAAAGGGCCCTGTGACACCCACCGAGGGACAGATAGCCCAGTGGACACTCAGAGAGGCTGTCCTTGGATTTGAATGTTGGCTCACAGCTTCAAGAACTTTAGGCCAGATCTCAGCCTGTTCCTCTCGTAAAATGTGAAGTGTTTGGATAACACCTTGAAAGGGCTGTTGTAAGGATTAAAGATGCACATGTGTGAGGCTCTTAGAGTACATACACAGTGAATGCTTTGTGTTAAATACAAAAGAGAAACACACAACAATGAAAGATTTTTTTTTCCCCAAAGAGAAAAGTGAAGGGTGGGGATAGGGAGGAAAATGTGCAACAATGAATGAATGGAAATCCAAGTTCTCTATTAAATTTCGTTAAAATTTCAATTAAAATAAAAGAGGAAGACACTTAGATACCATGCTATTACTAAAATAATATAATAATAATAAAATAATATAATAATATAAGTATTACTAAAAACATACAAAACAAACTGTTCCATCAAACTGATCCTGATTCACCATCAATTTCCAATCTTAATGGGAACAAATTGACTGCCTCATCTTTCTGTAGAGTGGCAGACGGGTTTGAACCACTGGCCTTTAGGTTGGCAGCCCTACATCTAACCCACTGTACCACCAGTACTTCAGTATCCACCATTCAGGACCAAAGGAGGCCTGAGGGACGGGCAGGGCAGGTCCAGGGCAGAGCGGGCAGAAGGTGGAGAGGCCTGAAGCCTCTCCAGCTTCTCAAGTCTTTTTTCTTTTCCTGGATGCAGGGGGTCCATTCTTGAGCGCCTCCTGTCTTCTGGTTTTCTCAGATGGCAGCATCCCCATTCAAGGGGTCTCTGGGGGCGGGGCGGGGGGGGCGGCTGCCTGTAGGTGGCCCTCAGGTTGAAGCGCCCTCCTGGTAAGTCATGAGAGACACTTGGAGGGTCCTGAAGGCTGACAGACCAGGCCAAGCCCTCTCAATGCTCTGGAGAGAGCCCGCGGGCAAGGCTTCCGTCCTGCTTGAGGAATTTTCCCCTTGCTGTAGAGTTTGCGAGGACATAGATACTTGCTCTCCCCTCTTGACATCTGCCCCATGCTTCAGCTACCCCTATGGAGGTTCCTGTGAAGGGAATTCCTTGGGCCTTCTGAGCAGATTGAAGACCCCCACGCCCACCCCACGCCCTCTGGTGCTTGGGCTTCAGCAGACACCTTCCACTAGCAAAGAGCTCTGAGGTGCAAAGAGCGCACCCCCAGGCGAGGCTGTGTAATCCCTTCTGCTGACACCAAGGATCCCAGGGAGCCCCAGTGAGCCTTCCCTCTGTTTCCCACCCCACCGCGAAGGCTCTGTCTTATCTATATGAGAGACCCTTCAAGTGCTGTCATATTTTAG